ACGTAACATCACATTTCACCTCCGGGGGCACTGGAGGGTCCTCTTAAGGCACAATGGATTCCTTCAGGTCTGCATTTGAACCAGTGTATGATAACCTCCTCTAGGTGGCCCTGCCTCCTGTCATCTAAATCATGACAGATTAAATTGTCTTCCAAGAGTTCCTAGAATGATCCTTGCAAAACTCAACAGTCCCTTATAACACTATGACATTAATTTTATGTGTCAACTGTTCTGGGCAACAAGGTGGCCACGTATTTGGTCTAACATTGCTCTGACTCTTGTCTTTGAGGGTTTTGGTTTTTCTTACTGAAATTAATTTTGAATTGGTAAACTGAGTAAATCAGATTGACCCCCCTAATGTGAGTAGGCCCCTTCCAGACTTCAACTGACCCGAACACAACAAAAGGCTGCCCTTCCCCTAAGAGGGAACTCCTCCCTTCTGCCTGCCTTGAGCTGGGCCAGTTTTTCTTGCCTTCAGACTTGAATTGAAACATCAGCTCTTCCTGGATCTTCAGCTCAGCTGGGTCTCCAGCTTGTCCACTGCAAGTCCTGGGACTTCTCAGCCTCCATGATTGTATGAACCAAATCACCAAATCCTTACTCTCAATCTCTCCCCCCGCCCCGTGTGTGTATACACTTTTTTGTACTTTTTTACTAACTTTACTTACTAATGTTATTCATTCATTTAAAAATGTATTGGGCACCTATCATGTATTTTTTAAAATATTTTTTTTAGTTGTAGATGGACACAATACTTTTTTTTTTATTTGATTTTTTTTTTTTGTGGTGCTAGGGATTGTACCCAGGGCTTCATGCATGCTGGGCAAACGCTCTACCACTGAGCCACATTCCTGGCCCCTTATCATGTTTTATACTTTAATAAATCATCGCTGAACAAAGCAAAGATTCCTGGCTCTGCAGAACTTCTATTGGTGTGTGTAGTGATAGACGAGGAATAACAAAATTCCTACGTATACTAAAGAAATTTTAGAATAGAGCAAGATCAGAAAGATCAAGAGATACTGGAGAGAGTACATTTGAGGGGGCTGACAGCGCTGGCCTTGTGGAAATCATGAGCAAGTTCCAAGTCTGGTGGATGTGGGCCCTTCCTGCACCCCAGCAGGATCCCTGGCACTTCCTCGTGTGAGACCTTCATCTCAGCCATGCTGACCTCCATGGAGCACTCTGACCTGCCTCACTTGGTCATCCCTCTGTACCTTTGTCATGCTCAGGATGTCCCCTCCAGTGGGAACTTGCTTCTTCTCTTTCTTGCATATATCACTGTAAAGGTACACAGAGACTGGTCCCAGCAGAAAGATCACTCTGAGCTGAAGAGATCACAGGCAGCAGCAGTATTACCTGAGCCCAGGGTTAGCGTCGCCCACTAGAAGACGCAGCTAGTGATGTCATCAGAGGCAACAGGGAGGTGAAGAGAATCTCTGACCTGTCTCTTCTTGCCATTTTCCACTCTCATCCCAGTGCCCCTCCTTGGCCATACCCTGCCACCAGTCAACTGACCCAGGAGTCTGGGAAACTCAGTCTGCAAAAGGGAGGCTCCAGCCACAGAGAGGAGAGGGCAGGGCTGAGATTGATTCCAAAGAATGGCTCAGAGGACCACTGGTCCAGAAGTGGGACGGTGGGCACGGAGCATGAGGCACCGGTGACGTGCTTTGACTGCAGCACTCAAACCACTGGCCATCCACTGTGTGCTGTCTGTCACCTCCTCCGGGGGCACTGGAGGGTCCTCTTAAGGCACAATGGATTCCTTCAAGGGGTGCTTTGAGGACACTCTATTTTATATCCAGGGCTTAAAATAGTACCTTGCTCAAGGTGATGTTGCTATGGTTTGGATGTGAGGTGTCCCCCAAAAGCTCACGCGTGAGACAATGAAAGAAGAAATGATTCGGTTACAAGAGCCTTAACCCAATCAGTGAATTAATCCCCTGATAGGGATTTACTTAGTGCTAACCAAATGGTAGGGTGTGGCTGGAGGAGGTGGGAATTGGGGCGTGGCTTTGGAGTACGTATTAGTATCTGGTGAGTGGAGTCCCTCAGGGCTTCCTGTTGGTAATGTGAGTCGCTTCCCTCTGCCATACTCTCCCACCATGATATTCAGCCCCACCTTGAGCCCCAAGAAATGAAGCTGGCCTTCTGTGGACTTGAAACTGTGACGCCCTCAAATAAACTTTTCTCCCCTACATTTGTGGGGTCTTTTAGTCATAGAAGCATAAAAGCTGACTAAAACAGATATCTTCATAATTGGGTGAATGAACCAATGAATGAGCAGCTTTCTCCCCAGTACTTCTCCGGGTGTGTTCTAACTTTAAGGAACTGCTCACCAGCCGGCTTCTTCTTAGCATCTCATCACCTCCTATCTGTACTGAGTTTGGGCCCAGCATTTGCAACATTTGAAGGCCACATGAATGGTCTGGCCATAAATCACACTGGTTTTCAACAAAGGGGTCCTGTGAGTTCATCAAATAGTTTCTTTGTTGTTGTTTTGTTTTGTGTTAGGGATTGAACCCAGGGCCTTGTGCATGTGAGGGAAGCACTTTATCAACTGAGCTTTGGAGTATGAATTAGTAGCTGGTGAGTGGAGTCCCTCACGGGTTCCTGATGGTGATGTGAGTCGCTTCCCTCTGCCATGACATACTCTCTGCCATACCCCAGCCCATCAAGTAAGTTTTGCATAAGCCTTCTAAGTAGTTCCCCAGGACCGGCTGCACATATGTATCTAACCCGACTGGGCCATGTCCAGTTCCTTCCTCATGAACCACACAAAAAAAGGAATGTATCACTTTTCAGAGTAAAATGTTTCTATCTTTCTGGTTAAATGTCATCTAGCCCCACCTGCTTGTTTGTGGGGGTTGGGACACATCAACCGAGAAGTTAACCTTTCCTTTAGGCAGGGGGGAGGAGGAAGTGAACTGCCATAAACAGACTGGCTGGTGGCTTTCCAATGGGTGCAGGAGGCTGAGGACTCTCTGGAGGCCCAGTGGGCTCCAGCTGTCACCAGGTCTGGATGGGGAGGTCAGAGTTTTCCCAGTTGGCCGCCTTGTAGCTGAAATACCTTGACTTTTCAGGGGTTGGAAAGCCTTTCAGTATGGGCACGTAGATAACCAGTTTCCACAGAGAAAATCTCACTCCTCTGTGTGTGAAATGGGGCCCAGTCTTAGTCTCTGAGGGCCAGCAGAAAGGTACCCGGGGGACTGTAGCCTTGCACCGTCTGCCAGGGTACCCTGGATAGATAACCCCAGGACAGAAATCTGAACAGCGAAGGGTTCACCAGCCATGTTTCTCCTTTAGCAGAGAGCAACATGTATTCAACTAGCCTCATTTTTCCAGGCTGTAAATCTCTGCTCTGCTCCAGATAAGGATGACTAAAGGACCCTACCTGCAGGGTTGTTTTGGATACCTCATCCCCCACAACGCTTAAGGAGAAATAGCTGGAGGCCTTGATGTACTTGAAAAAGCCTGTGGGAAGTTCTAGAGGCCAAAGTTGGGATTCCAGCTGCTCTGCTCACCAGCTGTGTGATTCTGGACAAGACTCTTCACCTTCTGAGACCTCCATTTTCTCATTTGAAAATTGGGGATTATAATATCTGTTTTCTCACAGAGGTGTGGTAAAGATCACATGAGATGCATGTTCCAGTACTTTGAAGATCTACAAGTGTAACATAGTACAACATAAGTCAGCAGAAGGGGTGCCTTTGATGTTTAATTAATACTAAAAATCTTCCATTACATTTATTTAGCTATAATTGGAAGGGGTGAAGGCAAGAGTACTTTTCAAAGGGATTTTTTTTTCTGCTCCAAAAATAAAACTCAGAAAGCACATATTTGATTTTCTTTTTGGTATAAACCACAGCGCCATTACTACGAGCAGTTTTACAGAATTGTGACCTTCAAACTTGGTGATACCAGACTGAAAGAAAACTCCCAGTCTCCAAGGCTTTCCAACAGGCTTTTCAAACCAAAGTACTATTATTTTGAATTAAGAGCTAACAGAATTGTCCTCTTAAATGAGCACTTACCAGATGAAAAGTTGCTTTCCAGGTGGCCTGCAGTAAATGAATGAGCCAAGAAGTTGCTGGAAGCCCTTTTGGGGGCAAACCAGGGGAATTTGATATGAATGTGTGTCAAACTGCCTCTCCCCTGTTGTGAAAAAGAAACTAAGAACTTGGTCTTCCTAATTGTACACGAGCTGATTTGTGTATCAATCTAGGATCATAATTTACTTTCAGTTTACGGAATTTGTGAATTTTCGCATTTGTTTTAATTTGTAATTAAGTTTTCTCTATGAGGCACGCCATATGCCACCATTAATTCTCTCTCGTTGATTTCTTAGGAGAGACACGAGTGCATATTTTGATGCAATTTTTGAGGTCTTTTGAAAATCAAATGACTATGTGCTTAGCCATATGGGGCTTTGTTATTTAAAATAGCATATTATAAAGTAAGAGAAAGCAACATGCAAAAGGACCTGTTAACGGGGGTGGGGGGTGGGGGGGATATTGGGAAACTATTTAAAACATGGTTTTAAACACACAAATTTTCAACTTTCTCTCTTTTTTTGCATTTTACTTCTGAAATCTTTCTTTATCGATCCCGTCTGGAATGCCTCCTGTCTGGTGTGAACGCACACGACATCCCAAGCGCCCGGGACAAACCTCGGTGCTTTACAACTGGGGCTGCAGACGCCAACATCTGCCTTCCGCGAGTTCGGCTGCAGCCCACGTCTGTCACTTAACATCTTCGGCCAGGATTGGAGCCCCTCGGTCCCCCAGCACCGACCGACCGCGGCGGCTCCTGAGAGGGACCGGAGGGTGGGCGGGGTTCGCGGGGTTCCCCGGGGCTCCGGAGCTGCCGGCCGTACGTGCGGGCTGCAGACCGGGCCGCGGGGCGGGCGGCGGCGGCGCGCGCTAGGACCCAGCAGGGCTCCGGGCCCGGGTGGGAGCGCGCCGCCGACCCCGGGCGGGCGCCGGGCGCTGGAGCCCGGGTTCCGGCCGCGATCGGCTGCAGCTCGGCCGGGAGACGGCGCGACCCGGCGGCGGGACCACCCGCGAGTGCAGCGCCGCCGCAGCCCCCCGATGCGGCCGCGAGGAGCGGCGGGGGGGCGGGCGATCGAAGGTAACGGAAGCGGGGCGCGCTCCCCGCCGGCGTCCCCGCCGCGGTTTAGCATTGTCATGAGGAGCCCGCGCCCCGGCCGCCGCGGGGCCGGGGCTGGTTCCACGGTGCCCGCCCCCGTGTTTGCACCTAGTTTCCGATGGATTTATAGCCTGCAGCCCCAGATGGGGAAGAGCCGGGGGGATGGCAAGTTGCTTTATTTTCGTTAGTTTTGTCTCAAAAGTAAGTTCATTTAAAAAAAAAAAAAGAAAGAAAAAGGAAAAAAAAAAGTTTCTCTGGAATCTGTAGGTAGGTGTTTTTGGAAAAAAAAAAAACCTAACAATTAAAAAAAAAAATCGCCGGCAAATGGATATTTATAAAAATCACCATCTAATGGGTGTGATCCTGCTAATGACTCCTGGGGAAGCCCGCTTTGGTGGGGTCCCCCGCATGACTTTTGTTTTTCAAGGGACCAACGTGTTAAATGTGGAGTTTGGCTGGGGCAGTTTGCAGCCCTTGCTGTCGCAACTGTTTTGCTATCAATTATAAACAGAGTGTCAGATCTGTGGGCAGTTTAAACCTCTGTTCAAATACTGTAGCTGCTTATCCTGATGTGACACAGACAGATGAGAGTTTCCGTTGAAAGCAGCAAGAATATTTCTCTCTTTTTTTTTTTTTTTTTTTTTTTTTTTTTGAGCAACATTGTTTTGAGGCGGAAAAACCACGATTGCCAGCCGAGGAGGCTGAAGAAACTGTATATTTCATGCTTTGTTTATACTCTGGGAGTGAAATTTGGGAAAGGGAAGCATGGTCTTTCTCGGAGCTTTTAATCGTGGGGTTATTAATTTATTTAATTTATTAGTTCCAATTGGTTGGGCTCGGGGAGCCCTCCGTCACAGGCTGTGCTTAAGGTGACACATTTGCTAGCAGTTGGGACACATGATTGCAAATGCAAAATGTGCCTCATCCAAAGGACTGGTCTGGTGGAAGCTCCCATGTGGCGCTGTCGTAGGCAGGGTGCGACCGGCTCATTGAGGAAAAAGGAAAGCGATTCCCTTTGCTAAGAAAGACATCCTGTTATATTCCTTTTGTTCCCGGTTATTCATTGATCGCCAGCTCTGCCTTAGACAGGGCGAGCAGCTCTGAGGGTGCAGAGCTCTGAAGACCGCACCAATGTCTGGAGCCCGCTCTAACTCTTGCACTGATTGGTCAGTTAGATTGAGACTTAGGAAAACAGTCACCCCAAACCCTCTTTTAAAATCGTGCCATAATTTCAGATGAGCCTTCTTGTGCATGGGTCTCTGCGAGATTTTTTTTTTTTTTAATCCTGCTGCAGTTTGCACGAGAAAGCTTTATGTTTAATTTTTGGTTGTTGTTTCTATCCAGATAAAGTAGGCCATTTTGGTGACAAATTTCTTTGCAGACCTCAGCTACTAGCTTCCATTGATAGATGTATCACTTTACAAGACATTCTCAATGATTTCTGCTTCCAAGTTGTAGAATGCAAAGTTGTCCAACTTAGAATTAATTTTTCCGAACCGTTCTTGGATCAGAGTATTTAAATAGCAATATCAGCAGATGGATGCCTAACTGTATCATTACTTTGATAATTTAAGTGCCTTTTGCGTTAGCATGTTTCACGCACTAAATCTAAGTCTTGTGACAGTGAAAGAAAAAGACAATGAAGAGCTCACCATCAAAATCAGCTTGTACACTGTGATAAGAAATTGTGGCATCTGCTTTGAGGAGAATGCATTTCATATCCATGGAAAAGGCTATTCTTCGGCATATAAGGCTATGAATTAGTAAACACTGTGAAATGTTGCCTCTGTAAGATGACTATATAAGCCTGTGGATGTCTTCATTTAGCCTTAAAGTGCCTCATTAAAGAAGCGCCCTCCCAGAAGTTGTTAAATGTATAAACACTTTTCTGATTGGTTTAAAAATTTAGACACAGGAAGTGGATGGTATCTAATAACCCATGAGTGGAGACATGGTTGTTATGGAAACTGAGAAGAGTAACCCCACCCCCCACCACTACATATACATCCACTACCACGACCACCACTTTAAAAAAAAAAAAAAAAAAAAACACCCTGCATGTCACCACAGATGCCTGGAGAACACGCTGGCTTCTGTAAGCTTTCCCACAGCATCTGTTGAAACCTGAGATCCTGCCTGTCAAATCAAGGTCATTTTACAACAACAACCAAAAATTCAGTCTCCTGGATTTCATAACTGTATTTTTATTGAAAATAGTTCAGGAAAAAGCTTGAGAGCCAGGATGAGCACTTATGCTTACTTAGCATTTTGCTACCTCTTGAGTTGTGCAAAGGGAAGGCTCAGAAGAATGTATTTTGTGCTTTTAATTTTGGATTGAAACTGAATTGTATGTCTAACTGCTAGCACAAAAAAAGAAAAAGAAAAAGAAAAAAAAAATCCCCAAACTCTTGAAAGCTGCAAAGACTAGAATGTTACCTGTAGATGAAGAGTCATCTGGGGAAGGTATAATGGAGCTTTTCTGTTTGCAAGAGGGTTCAAAGTTGAACTGAAGCAATTGAGCTTAAAGAACTGTGGTATTTGGGGCCCCTGCTATGAGGCGGCATGCAGGGGAAACAGTCAGACTGTGCAGTGCTCCAGAAAAGTGTGAGGGAGGGTGTTCTTGGTAGGAAAGGAAAAACTCCTAAATGGAATACTGTTTCAAAACTGCTAATATTAGTATTCAGTTGATTTAGACTACTTTCCTCTTTGGTGGATGGAGAAAAGTGCTTTAATTTTTAGGATAATTTAGAGGGTCCTAAAATAATAGTTGCAACTATTTCACTATCTTGGTAACAGTGAGAAAAATAAAGAAAGGAGAAAAATTTGGACGACCTCACCCCCACTCATTTATTTTGCTAACTGAAAAATAACCTAAGTTTTGACTAAGGGTCGTCATCAAACCTTGTGAATATAAATCAAATGTGTTTGTTATATTTTCCTGATCTTGTCAATGGCCATCTTTACATTTTAAGTTCTTGATATTCATTTAGAAATATCTTCTTTTCAACATGATAATTCATAGCCTTGTATTTGTCTTAATTGAAAAGTGTCAGTTTTAAGACTTATTCAATTAACAGTTTGATCTCAAGAGCATCAACTTTCCCTTGTTTTCATTAACAAATTGTATGGGGGGAGGGATGAGATAGAAAGATTCCTAACTATATTTTAATGTTCATTTCATAACCTGCATTAGGGTTGTAGGAAACAGAGAGCTCAGAAGCAGCATAGCATCATTTGGGTGATTCAGTGTCTATTTCATGATCTTACATTATCAAATATTTAACTCGTTAGGACTCAGTGAGGAAGGTTAGATTTAATGGCACAACTGGTCTCTTTTAGCAAAGGATTTCCGGTAGGGAGCTTTCTTCTCTGCAAGTATGTTCATTGGCAGGAAACGGGTCAGTTGCTTGTTTTTACAAACTGAAGGAAATGAATTGGATTTCTTGGTTTCCAGAATTTACCTTCATTCTCCATTGTCTGTCAAATAGTTTTATCAGAACATTTCATTTCTAAAGGGACTTCTGGGAGTACAGTTAATTCACTTTGAATCTTTGGCATTTCTGTATTTCTTTTTGACTTTGGAATTAGAACAATTGATCGCTATATAAAAAAAAAGAAAAATTGATTATTATACTACCATGTACAACTTATTTTACCAATGCATATTAGCAAGATGGTCAATAAAATTCCAGTTCATTTTTAGTTGTCAGCTAGTTACTACTCCCTGAAGCTGGTGTTTTTATTATGGCTATGCTAAATTTTTAAGAATTATTCTAGAATCCCAACTAAGTGCCAGTCTTTAGTTTGGATTAATGTGGAGAGGTAAAGGGAGGGAGGCAGCTTCATTCTTTTCTTTGCCAATAAGAAAAATGTCTGTCAAAAATACATAACAGTTATATGCTAACCTTGCAGATGGCAAGAGTCAAAGTTGGGTTAGAATAGACCAAACCCAGTTTAGAGTACAACACATTTTAACTTTGAAGGCATTTACTGTGTCCAAATCTGAATTATTTCAGGCATGTTAGAAATAAGGATATTTAATTGTTTCAATTTATGTATGTTTCACATTTTGGAAAGGGCTATAAAAGGTAAACTTCTTTAAAGAAATGTGTGTATACCTCCATTTGCAGGGAACAGTCTGGTGGGGGAGGTTCAGAGAGCCCAAGGGAGAGAGAACCAGTTACTGCAATGTTTTTCACACATTTGTATAGACATCATTTTTGTTTTATATTTAGCACCAAGTGGAATCTTATGTAAGACTCTAATATAGGAATTGAATAAAAACAGAGTGACTCTGGGGAAACCCTGAGCCGAAAGCCTGCAATCGCCCCTGGGGTGTGCCCGGAGCTCACTCTAGAACTTGTAGAACCCCTGCCAACACAGTTGGAAAGCACTGCCTTTAAAGTGCCCAGATATTCTTTAAAGAAGGCCCGAGGGAGCTGCTTACAGAGCCCTGAACTCTCTTAGCTAAAGAGAGAAGTTTGCCTTGACATTTTCAGAGGACCTGTGCTCAGAGTGGGCAGGAAGAAGGTAGTTGATAAGATAAACTGAAAGAAGCCCACAAGCAAATAGAAAAGGTATGGACTGGGCCACAGGTATGAAAAGCCCTGGCCAAGTCCGTGATGAGAGAAGGCAGAAAGGTATTTGTAGAGGTTCCTTATAAACCAGGGACCCCTTTTCTTATAAGTTAGAGGAACATCATGTGGAAATGTCTGAGATGGTTGTAATTTTCCTGGAAGGCAGGGGTACCATCTATTATCACCTCAGGATCTGTTCATGACTGTTATTCTATTAGTCAGTGAAAATAATTTCATATTAAGTGTCATTCATGAAATGAAAGTTTGCCAAGCTATATAAATCTGCTTGGCAGACTCCGTAGTGTTTTGAGTGTTGAGTCAAATGATAACACACAGATGATATTTGAATATCATCAAATATACCCACATTATCTCATCTATTAAGAGACTGAACTGAAATAGCAG